CGTTGATGCTTCTAACCACAATGAAGTGAAACTTTTTCCTTTAGTAATTTGATTTTTTTAGCTCTAGAGTTGGAGTTAGGGTGCGTATTCTCGACCTGCGATCGATGCCCTGTGAGTCCTCTGAACAAATAATGAATTTTATTGTTTCTTCTCTTGAGGAAAATGGCCTTGGGTTGGAAAATGTGACATCCTTCTGTGCTGATGATGCAGTAGTAAACTTTGGGGGTTGCAAAAAACAGGGGAAAAACAACGTTTTCAATCGACTAAAAGAACGAACACTCTACACGTCTGATCCCAATTGGCTGTCCGGCACATATTTTGCACAATGCGGCCGACAAGGCTACCGAAAGGCTCCCAGTCGATATTGAAACAATTGTACTTAAAATATGTCCTCTACTCACACGCCAACGCGATGGACTACATTAGACAATGTGGTGGAAAATATTATAGATATTTGGGAACCACTCAAACATCATTTTTTGTCATTGAAGTGTCCCCCGCGAGTTTTTGAAGAATTTTTTAAATCAGAACAATCGCTGATTTTTATGACCTTTTTTCACAGCGTTCTGCTAGTTTTCAAGAAGCCACTATTACTATTACAAAAAACAACAGCATTATTTCCTCAATTGGCTGATATAATCGATTCGTTTAGGAACGCAATTTTACAGCGTCGAAGTTCTGAGTTTTATGGGGCAACAACAGCTGAATTGTTAAAAGGGGTTAAGAGGGACCATGCTGAGATGCTTAAATCAAGGTTTCAACAGTTTTACACTATCACTATGGATTACATTGTCATTGACATGTGGTATCGACCAGACGAGCACCCAGGTAACTTAGACTGGACATTGCTGAGAAATCGAAAAGTGAGATACGAAGAAGTACTAGAAATGGCGAAACAAATTGATCGCCATATAGCGATGGCAGATGAGTTGTTTGACGAGGTAACAGCTCTCAACGCCCTACTGGAAAATATTCCTGATGATGCGTTCAACAAGGATGACCCAGATAAGAAGTGGATGAAGATTTTATCTGAAACCAATTATCTACTGCTCATTTACAAGCTAGTCAGCATCGTATTTTCTATCCCTGTCAGCAATACCTTCGTGGAGCGTTTTTTTTCTTGTATCAGCGCATGGGACCAATGAAAGAAACCGCCTACGCGAACAAGCTGTCAGAGCCCTGATATAAGTGAGGGTAAATTTAGAAGACTTCAGTTGCCCTGAAATGCACAACCTGATTTCCAGTGACTAGAGACTGCTGAAGTAAATTGTTGGTGGCGATAAATATAAATGATTTGACCTTTATTTAGTTCAATAAAGTTAATATTCAAAATTATGTGTTTATGTTATTTAATAATTAAGTTGTTACCCACATTTTGGGTTAGATGGCTGCGCATCTCATTGAAAATGCGCAGACGCCTTTTGGGTTGTTGTTTCCTGTGCAAGATGTCGAACGCTGGATGTTTATTGTGTGTACCTGCCTACCTTTCTGTAGCTTCTTACCTTTTGGAGGTTGCGTGTGGCTATTATTTCGCGGTTTTCCAAGGCCTTGCGCGATTTCACGGCTGCATGCAACCTTGTTCGAAGCGACTTCTAATAATAAAAATTTGGAGTGCGGGAGAGACTTGTGTATGCTTCCTATATCATTTTCATTCTGCGTTTCTGCCGTTGTCAAGTACCCTTTAGCCTCATATACACTCGCGTTCAAAGTGATAACAGTTATACTAAAACGCGCGCAAAAGTCGAACGGCTAGCAGGCTACTCAGTGCGGATTAGGATTGCAGTTTCGTTAGGAACTAGGCTAGACTAGGAAGGAACGGGATTCAGTGTGGATTAACTTTTAAAACATTATAATCATAACAATATAAAAATCAATCACGCGATGTATTTAAATGCTGGATACACGAATACGTCTTCAGAAACTTGTTTTTATCTCTCCAAGAACAGATACAATGCATTAAAATAAGGTATAACGATTCTAAGCAGCGTTTTAATCATATTTATTCAAAGAAAAATTTGTAAATTGCAAATAATTTATAGATATTTCATGCCATTTATGTGTCTGGACAGGCACGATAATGTTGCGAATCCTAGGATAATTCAAAATGCTGAAAATAACTTTTGTATTCGAAATTTTTGACAATCAGGTGCTAAAACACGGCTTTGTACGCATATAAATTACCGACAAGCTTTATGATGCAACGGCATTATTTTATTGGTTCAAAAGAGTTTGGACGAGAATTTTACTATCACAGGATTATGTTTTCTATCACAGCATTAAAGCATTATCATCTTTTTCCGTTGTTCTTTCAGATTTCTGGGTCGTTATTTTCATTCTATGTCTATAAAATTATGTTGCCCAAACGGCATAATAATGACGGAAAAATAATAAACTGGAAAGAAGCATGTAGGTCTATACCCCAAAATCATTCTGCGGCCCCCTTTGGTTCAGGCCTCAACAAAATGAAACCATGTAACAAGACGTTATGGTGAATGGGCAGACCAATTGTATTGATATGTCATGAACGACGTAACAGCAGTCCAGTATACAGGGATACATACAAGTCGTCCAAGATTGGAGGCTATGAAAATTATCATACGATTCGGGAATTTCCTTGCAGCGCATTTAAAACAATCACAACACTCGTTAGCAAAGCTGCCTTGTCAGCTAATTTTGATATTGTCGATGCGAAAAATATACATTCAACGGCTGGCAAGACCGTCATGCTATAATATTTGCATTCAACGCAAACGACCGAATACGTTAGGTTAACTCATAATGCTTTTCTCCCAACCACAATCCAAATGAATACAATTCCTTCTAAAAGTAGAGTGGAAAATTACAATGGTTAGATTTCAATTTATCATGATATGAAATAAATTCTATAGTGGAAGTAAGTTTCAATTTTTATGATTCACAGTACCTGGAATAATAAAAAATATAACAATAAGACAACATTTTTCATCCGCCGTTGAGTTCCTCGACCAAATTTATAATGTTTTTCCTTTTTATTTTTAGTGTGCATGATATCGTTTCACCCTATTCGTGTCAAAATTGATAATTATATTTGCCCCCATCTGACGATGAGGTCGTTTTTTTCATTTTACATGGTGCTTTTCAAACCTACCTAAAATCTATTCTTGTTACTCTATGTCGCTCGCTTACGGCTTGGTTGGAAAGCATAACCCCCAAGCGCTTTTAATCGGCGTGTTTTTGATCATCGTCGGATCTGTCATCAAAAACTTTCAGTAATCTTTATAAAAATTTTCTATTTTTGGACCATGAAAACACAACGTTCATACAGAGTGTGATCATGGAAAATCTTCTTACTTGAACCTAAAACATAGTTTGTTAAAGGACCTTGTCATCTCAAAAACGTATAAATGAATCTTATTTAGTCCACCAATCCATGAAATCGGACAAATTCAAAAGAGATGATTTTAGAAAAGCTGAAAATCGTCCCCAAAATACACTGAAATTACATAAAAAATTTTATAACCTAAATGAGTGGCGAGATAACGCGCAAAACGAAAGCCATCTTTGTGTGACGTAATTATTTATCATACAGAAACCAGACACCACATTTCCACACACGTGACCGAACAGCTGTTTAGCCACAACTGTTGGATGTCGTTGGTGGGTTACCCAATCCAATGGCCGAATGGAGGTGGGGAAAATATGCTAGGGTACCCCTGCCAATGGCACTGTAAGGGTTCAACATGAATTTCAACATTTCATTTGTCGTCGTATAGTGAAAATCCTCATCCAGGAGTAATTGACGGCGATATGATTCGGTTCATTGCAGATTATATCCTCTTAGCCGATGTTAGCGTTAAGCGATTTTTTCTCACTGTACGAACAATTCTGCGAGAAATAATACTAATTCTCTTGTCAGATAGGGAGAACTTTTGCCCCTGAAAGTACACTATAGTCGTTCACTTACTGATAGATTAAATCAAATCAGGTTTTATTATCAAATTTTCATCCCTGACTTGTTAGTCTGTGTTTTGATCGATTTTAAAGATTGTGTTCCCCACTTCAACAGACTTAATAACATTTACTCCCACCCGTAACCACCACGACGTTGCGCAGGCGAAAGCATTTTGTTTTCACGGGTTTATTAGTCACGTGCATAATTGAATATGGATGGATACTGATATCAAGGTTGGCTGACTAATCAGCATTGACACAGCTTAGCAATGCTCATTCACCAGTGTCAGGTTCAGTACATAAATCATTATTTTTAGGGTGGTTAAGACAGCAGTATCGTGATGAGATTTAAATCAATAAATGAAAAAGGAAGATGGCGATTACCCTCTATTGAAGAGTAGTCGACTATTGAATTTATCCCATTTTTTCAATTTCAATATATTGGCAAGTTTCAACAATTTTTCATTTGTTATATATCACGTAGTTTCAACCCTAGTTCAATTACGAAACTTGTATACCGATAACCACAATGTATACTTCACGCAACAACCAATCGTTTTGAACAAGAATCTCGAACAAAGTCATAATAGCTAATGTTAATATGATTACAAAACGTTATTGTGTTTACATACTCGATGTTCATTTTTCCTGTGTATTTATATACCTGGCATTTGTAAGATAAAAATAGGGTCAGCTTAAAAGTTGCTTTTCATCAATGACTTTTATCAAGGTTGAAATGTACGCAATATGTTCCTTTCAGGTAGATGCATTTTACATACAAATATTTTACCTCCAACGAATATGTCAAATTTATTCCAGTTCTAATAGTTTATATTATACTCTAGTTCGTATTATGTAGGCTATATATGTGTTTGTGATAGAGTCTTTCTTGTATTTATTGTTGTCAGGCAAGATTTATAGACGTACTTTACTTACGTATAACGTATTCCCCGTGCTTGTTTACGCGTCTTTGCACTAAATGTTTTATTACGTTTGTTCCGTCTTTAGTAAATAAGTGGTTTTCATTCTCAGGAAAGAGTAGTTAGTATACAATAATATAGAATTAGAAGTAGCAACAAGTATTGGTACGACCAAAGCAGTTTGAAAAATGCCGAATGATTGCGAAAGTGGTATATGACGGGAAAGTAATAGCTGTAAGAATCTGAGCCTCTTGTAGGAAGAAAATGGTAACTTCCGCTTTGTCATCGTTTTTATGCTGGGATTTATACAGCCCTAGTAAACCTAATCTTTCAGAAATATCGCCAATATAAGAGAACTCTTTTTCAAGGATATTTAAATACATTTGATTAGGTTGGGTAAGGTAAGCAACAAATTCATAATTTTACAGATACAAATCCATGCGGTGCAGAGGGGTTTTCAAATGGAAGAAGGTTCCTTTTTGATGTCACGTTTTGTGTGCAGTACTATTATGAATGCGTTCACGGTGAGTATGAATTGTTTAAAACAACTTAGTTGGAAAAACGACTTGAATTAAAAATATGTAAGTGTTTTATTCTACTACGATTCTTATTCAGATAACTACGTGCAACGTCCATGCGCAGCCGGGACAAAATTTGACGTGAAATCAACCACGTGCACTTGGGAAAGAAATATCGCCGCACGTCAAGGTAGGATTCATTATTCAATTCAATTCAATTCGTTTATTACTCCAGACCGCTGTGGTCCATATAAAAACAACATACCCAATAAACATAAGCAAAACAAAAATAACACAATAAATACATAAAATACCTGATATGACAATCAGATTCACAGTAAGTCTCAAAAAAGAGTTATAATATAGCAATTTAAGAGACCAAAAGTGAGGTTATTGGAGTTCCTGCATCTTGTCATGAACAACCATAGATTTTTTCTATGGAGTGCTTCGAAAGAGGGAATGTTCCCAGATACCATTTTGTGACGGACACTCTCAGATCTAGAGACAAGTGAATTACGCGATAAGCATTATTACATGAAATTTCAACTTTTTTATAATTATAATTATTGAAAAACAACCAGAGCTGGCAGTTATAAATGCTACAACAATACGTCCTAAATAAAAGATTTTTCACAGTAGTGGAACAATTGACAAATTTTTTCAAAATTGTATGGGCTATAAAAAAAATTGATTTATACTGACGTTTCAAGTCAAGGTCATCTACAAGATCACTGGATAGGAAAACACCAAGATATTTAGTGGACGAAACATAAGTCAATACAGAATTACAAAGTTTGATATCAGGCAAATTATTCAGCCTAAACTTTTTATTCTGGATACACATACAAACAGATTTTTTCGAGTTGTACAAGATGTCATGTCATGTTCAATAGAGTATTTATCGCATATGTTAAGTAAACGTTGAAGACCTTTGGCTGAAGGTGAAATGCAACACATGTCATCAGCATAAAAAATATGATTGATAATATTGTTATTTGCTACACATCCAATGGTCTCTTGATTCAACTTAACAGAAAGGTCATCCATGAAAACAGCATATAGGACAGCATATGGACTTAATATACTACCTTGCTTGGTACCATTATGGACAGAGAAAGGATCTGACACACTGCTACCCCATTTAACAAACATGGATTGATTACGATACATGTGTACAATCAGCGACAAAAATATTTTGGGGATTCTTCTGTTGATTAATTTACGAAATATAGTCCAGTGAATAACTTTATCAAAAGCTTTAGTGGCATCCAAAAAAGCTATGAAAACTGGTGATGATTTTTTGGAATAATAAGTAGCTAGCTGCTTTATTGTAAAAATGCACATGTCAGTCCCGTGACCAGGCTTGAAACCAAACTGGTTGTGAGATGTAGTTAAGTAAGACCCAATGTTATTTAAAATGTGTTTTTCAAAAATCTTAGATAAGACAGAGGCCACTGCAATAGGCCTGTAGTTACTTGCACTACAAATGTCACCATTTTTGTTCTTAATTATAGGCTGAATAGAACTTGAAAGGAAGGATGCTGGAATATAACTATGGTTCATACATGTGTTAATATACAAACATAAAAGCACTGATAGAATTGGATGAGAATATGCCAAATGTTCCTTGGTTATCCCATCAGGACCAGGTGAACAACCAGATTTAAGAGAAGAAACAACATTTGCAAGTGCATCGACAGTGAGCAAGTAATTACTGAAACAGTTATCAACATCAGAATTCAAAAATCCTAACACAAAATTTTTATCATTTTCATTGGGAACACTATTAAAAATTTCTTCAAAATGATTTTTCCTCATATTAGTAGTTTTATTCTGCCCAGTGGCACCCCCAACACTAGCTGGAAGTGGGCCGTTATTGTCCTCTGAAATGATCCGCTTTGCGCGAGACCAGAATTGTTTGGGATGGTTACACAATATTGATTTGGCAATAGCATCACATTGATTCCTTGTTCGCTCTCTTTTACAAGCTCGAAACAATCGTTTGAAATGCAATTTTGTTCTAACATATGCATCAAAGATACAGCCATGGCGAGGATTGTTATGATAAACCCTCTCAAGATATGCTTGTCGAGCAGCAACATAGGAGTCTCGGACCTCACTGTTCCATCCAGGAATAGGCTTAATGTGCTTGTGTAACAATCTAACTTGCACCATGTGAGACTGTGAACTAGTAAGGGCAGAACAAATATCATGGTTAAATTGATCAGTGCTTTCACGGTGAGATTGGCAATTGATATTATGACATCGAATAGCCCCAAAAGGAATTTTTATAGAACTTAGGTTTTCAAAAGTTGAGTCAGAATATTGGTTCAGCTGCGATGATGAAGCTGAGCTCCAGGAAACAAATTGCTTGACTGCATGGTCACTTTTTGTATCATACATGATAGGAATATGTGAAACATTGATGGACACAGATAAAGGTCTGTGATCTGAAATTATAATGTCTTGAATAACATCTATAGATTCAATAGAATTATGCATATTCACACTTGTAATACAATGGTCTAACCAACTAGTTGTTGCATGTGCATCACTAATGTATGTAAAGGAACCAGGCTGTAGAAGTTCCATATCAGATAAAATGAGACCATTTTCTGAACAAAATCTTTCAATAAATGAACAAAAGTATTTGAGTTGCTGGCATTAAAATCACCAATGATAACAATATTAGATATAGAAGAGTTTTCAATGATAGATTGCATTTTACAAAGTAAGGAGACAAACAAGTCTTCGTTTTCACTGCTGCAACATGGCATATAAACATTTAGAAATAAAATAGAGATTTCCTTATTTTGAAAAGAAATTCCCATCAGTCGATCATCTTCTATAGAATCAATTACAGAAATGAATGGATGCAGTGATTCATGCCATAAACAAGCCAAACCTCCAAATGGACGACCTGAGATTGGACTGTCATTGGCATAATCTATGGGGGAAATAGCAGCACTACAGAAATTTTTGTGTACCAAATTGAGTTTATGAAGATTTTGTTTCGAAAGCCAGTGTTCTTGCAGAAATATCATCTGGAAGGTCTGCTTACATATATCCTTCAATTCTTTGAGAGAATTTGTGATACCTCTGCAATTGAGAGACAAAATATTTAACTTGCTATTATTAATTTCAGGTGTCGCCATTTTTAGGTTTCTTTGGGTTGAAATATCTCTTCACAATAATTACGGAAGGCCAGCTATCTTTGTTAAGAGCATCCTTAAACGCGGTGCTAATAAGGGTTACTTTGAATGATGAGTATGATTCATATTTCGACTTCAATGATTCGCATTTTGCTGTTTCAGCTTCATTAGGAAACTGTTCTTTAACAAATTTGAGCAAATCTTCCTGGTTTGTGTCTGCTTTGAAACGAGAGAGGAAGATGTTGACTGGTCTCAAAACAGGAGTGAATCTTGTATTTAATAATTTTTCCACAGGTGCCGGTTTCTTCTTTTTGCGGAAAGAAGCTGTTTTCCATTGATTATTCATCATTTCCTTCTGGGTTGAAGGCTGAAATGCTCCATGTTGTGGGAGTTGGTGGTCCCTAAATTTGTCAGGCTCTTCAGCTAATTTCCTGGTTGGGGTTTTTGAGGGTGTGGGATCCTCAGAATTTGGTGAATCGCTGTGAAAATCAGCCATCACTATTTCGGCATAAGATGGTGCATTTTTTATGGACATCATTCCCTCATTCTGCACAGTGGGTGAAAAGCTTGGAGATTGAATCTTATTTGCATCGTGCAAAGAACGCAACTGAAGAACTTCTTCTGATAAGTTTTTAACTTGTTGTTGAAGGGAGCTTAAATATCATTTATCACTTTTTTTATTTTTTATAAAATCATCCACATCATTTCAGACATTTTTAATTTCCTGGGCTATGACCAAAGAATCAGCATGGTGCAGGTCAACAGGAGGGAATTTTGCTGATGCAGTTAAGAAGATGGGGCACTTGTCAGTTGGTGTTTCAAGATATCTCGAAGGTTCGATACGGTTTTGTTCGGGCCAGTTCTATTAATTTTGCGACCAGACGGCTGGCATAATTTAAATACTTGAGCTTTGGCCTCCTCGACCTCTGAATCCGAATAAAATTTGCTGCAGATGAGAACCAGGTCATCTGTCGTCATCAGATCCATTTTGTTGTAGACGTACCATAGAACAGTATTGATGCAATGACGGATCACCGTATCTTCCTGAAAGGAGCTACAGTCTGTTCTCTGGAAGCAACTCGACTCATCTTCTCCGGACATACCGGCACCGGCAAAGTCTGCCCGGTAACAGTGGACTCAATGCAATAACTATCTAGTATTTAATCTATTGTTGCTAGTAATTAATCTTAATACAACCAAACACTCCATTTGAATCAGGTTGAATTATTGAATCAGAGGTAGAACGGTTGAGTTTTTCAATCCATTTGGCTGTTGAATAGAAGATTAGACTTTTATTAACAAGAAAAGTTCTAAATATGATTGCTATCCCTGTTTTGTGGGCTCTAATACATCCGAATGGATGAAAAAGATTTGACAATAAAATTCACTTATTTATCGGCATTTTTACATTTCTATTTTAGATGAGCAACCTACAGTATCTTCAAGTACAACTACCGCAACTTTGGCGACTATGGCAGACGCGACTCTAACAACCGAAGAATCATTTACAACATCCACTCCAACAAGTAAATTGAATGGAATATGAACTGTCTCGGGGTTGTAAGCGAGCTGCCCATTTTGGGCGCGATCCGATCCAACACTCAAATTTATATAAAACCGAATCCTAGTCCAATATTTTTCATGGCAAGTTCCAAAGTAGACCTAAATACCCAAATTAAATGTTAGGTGTTGATATTTTCCGAAGACTTGGAGTTATATGTTCTGCGGCATACCTAAAATTATTACCATTTTAAAAACTTATCAAACTTTCAGCAGAAATCCCGTTTGAAATTTGTTTGCATGTGTTAAACAGAGGTATAAAAAAGAGGCGTAGAAAAGAAGTATTTAAAATTCAGATTATGTAATTAAAAGAACTTTCATAAATATCGTCAAACTATATTTCTCTTACAAAATCAGAAATTTCAAATATTCAATGTTAGTTTTATGTTCTTTTATCTTCAAGATAGAACATTAAACTTAAGTCATTACTAACCGAGGATTGGCATAGTTACGCAATTTTTAAATGGTTCACGTCACATTTGTGACGTATAACACTGTATAACACTTGTACAACACTGTCGCCCTTGAGTGGTGCATACCATATATGTACACACCCTTTAAACTTGACCATTCCCGCGTTTTATAGTATGTGGTATCATCACTCAATGGTGTTGTACATTCATCCAAATTCTTAATTTTTTTTAAAAACTTTTTTATTACTATATTCATATGCAGTGTGTTTCATGTTGTGTTGTGTCTCTATTTATAGATGTTGTTTTGTCTAACAAACTCCTTTGTACAAACAGTTTTGTACACTCCACCCTTATCCCTGTTACCGCATCCACCCACCCTCCTTGCGCAACTGCCTGTATAAAGGACCACATTGTACATATTTGATTTACCCTATTATAATTTATATATATCAAAAGGGGTGTATGCCGCACATCTGTGTTTTAGGCCAATATGGTCTTGTGCATACATCCCGTCTTTAGTATTTATAATTACTTACTCTTTTATATCGCTTTTACAAGACGAATAAACATACATACATACATGCATACATACATACCATACCTACCATACCATACCATACCATACCATACCATGCCATACCATACCACGCATACCACGCATACCATACCATACCATACCATACCATACATACATACATACATACATACATATTACGTTTGAATCGTAAAGTATGCGTGAGGGGTCTTACGCACATGCGTACATGTCCACAAATGTCATTCATTCTTTGTAACATAAACAACGCGTAACAAATCAAGCAAAGATTATTTCTGAATATTTCCTGAGTAACATTTTATTTTTAATTATACTTACTCGAATTATCTATGGCCTCAATTGGTGCACCGATATTTCATTTTGAAACTTGATCTCTGAGTAAGCGGTTCAGGTAAATACAGCTGTTTTTCGTGTACCCCGTATAAGTGATTATAGAGGCGGTGCCCTTAGCATAACGGATACTTCACAATGGTTTTGCCACAATTTGTTAATTGTACGGGTCCATGCATTATCAATTAATAACTTTATCAAAGGATAGAGAACCACGAACAAATTACAATTTTTTCAATTGTTGCACTCAGGATTAATTTTTCTTCATCTATCTATAAGGTTTGCGTTTTCAATCGATAAGAAACCTATGATGTTCATTTATTAGGACAGCAAAACAATTTTATTTCATCACTGCTATAGTTTAACTTCTTTACAGTTCAATTAATAAACATTTTTTACAGCTTCAAATCCATGCGGTGCAGGAGGATTCCCGAATGGAAGACGGTTCCTTTTTGATGTCACGTCATGTGTGCAATACTACTTTGAATGTGTTCATGGTAAGTAGGCTGTGAGTTTCTAGAAACAAAATAGATGAAAACTATGTTGAGGCACAATTCTGCTGCATACGTGAGTGGAAGTGTTTTATTTCAGTATGAAACAATTATTATTCAGATATCTACATTCAACGTCAATGCACAGCCGGGACAAAATTCGACGTGAAATCAACCACGTGCAATTGGGAAAGAAATATCGCCGCGTGTCAAGGTATTAACTATTGAATCCACGGTAAAATGGCTGACTTAAATTCAAAAGTTCTATAAATCAAACATTACATATAAATTTGTTCCAAAATGTTTATTTTTTTTTATATATCAAACGATCATATATTACGTTCATCCAACTGCGTTACCGGCATTGCAACTATTCTGGACTGTTCATTCTTGCGTATCCGTTTATTGTATTGCGTCATTAAAATTGCATATGCTACCGACGTATACCGGTATGTTCGGTTGTTCAATCTTTGTACCGCCTCGTGTACCGTTACGTTCGCACTAGTTTTATTTACAAATTAAATGTCCCTTAACAAGTTTATTACGTGGTTAAATTTTCATCGAGATTGTTGAATTTAAAAAAATTCTCCATACTATTTGGGCCGCACTTAAAAAACTTTGCCAACCACTGCTCTAACACGTCCTGATAACTTCTGACCTAATAACTTGAACGTTTCTCGAATTTTTCTTGATTCAAGTCACAAAGTATGGATGATGACTAAAATAGATTTTGATTTAAAAAGAAAACAAACTGACTTTCACTTTTTCTGATTTGACTAAAATTAACTACATTTTATTTGAGAATCGATTTGGACACGAGGATTGATGACTTGAAGATTGCAATGAATGCGGCTGCAACTGAATCATACTGTTTTCCCAATAAGCAACTCAACTGGTTCGAGACACGTCTGGCAGCCTGTGTGAATGATCTGACAATAAAATTCTCTTCTTTTTAGTATTTTATATTTTTATTTTAGATGAGGAACCTACAGTATCTTCTTCAAGTACAACTACCGCAACATCAGATTCAACATCTATCCCAACAAGTAAATTATTTGAAATTCAATCTTTATTAGAGTTGTGAGAAAGCTTATTTTAAGCGCGATCCGATCCGAACCTAAAATTATACCCGAATCCTAACCCAAAACCTTTTATGCCACGTGTGGCGCATCGTGCTAAGCGTTAGGAATACGCCTGCCACCGCATCTCTGATTACCCCTCTTGGGATCGCAGGTTCGAATCCCATGCGGGGATGATCATGTGCGAGAGAATGGCTGGACACCTCGCCGCCGTAGGGTGGTTCACGTAACCGCTGGTCGTTTACGGCTTGCTCCACCATCAAGTCCATGCTTCCGAAAAAACAATTAACTGGCTAATTAATCCCATACCCAACCCGGACTGGTAACCGGACGAGAGGCCGTGGTTCGCCACATGATTAAACCGTATTTATCGGCTTTCTTCTCCTCCGGGATAGATATGTAAATCCTATCCTATCCCAAGTTCCAAAGCAAACCTAAATACCCAAATAACATGAATGGTGTTTATCTTTAGCGAAACTTTGGAATTATTTGTTCTGCAAAAGTGATGAATATCTGAGACAGTATTAAACAAAGTCATTACTAGCCAAAGATTGACATAATCACGCAATTTTTAAATGGTTCACTTCCCATTTGGAATATAATTACTTTTTCATCGTGAAGTATGCTTGAAAACGTAGGCTATATGCGTACATATCCACAATTGTCCACAATCGTGTAATCAAATACGTTTTTAGTAAAAAAACTGTGCCGACTCATGTTAAATGAGTGGTTACATTTGACTAAAGCACCGGTTCCCAACCAGTGTGCCATGGCCCGCAGAAACATTTCCAGATGGGCCACAAACTTATTGAAAATTGCTAGAGTTGTCAATAAATTTAGTTGAATTAGATGGTAGTATCAATAATTGATGCTGCTGTTTTTTACAACAGGGTGGCAATTTTCATTCTAAATATTAAAGTGAAATTGTCTGTTTTTACAGAAATAATTTTATGCTTTCTTGTAGTTTTTCCTTTATAGGAAAAAGTTAATGGCCCACATAATTTTCGAAACGAAAATGGGCCAAACAAAAGTGTTTTGGCCATCGAATCTCATTTTGATATAACCACCAAATTATTTATCAAATTAATCTGATTGTATTTTTTTTTATTAAAATGTACTTCGAATGTTTCAATCGGGTCATATTGCATTGCATTCCTTTTTTGCGGTACGATATCAATTCAAAAAGTTCAAATCTGCACAGTAATCAAACAAAATTGTTCCTAAATTTCTATTTTTCATTTTGGCATTAAACTCCCTCGCATAATTCATGGCTCTCATTTGGCGCAAATTTTATTTTGAGACTTGATCTCGAAGCAAGTAGTTCAGGTAAAAGCAGATTTTTGTGCACCCGAAAAGGGAATTATCGAGGAAGGTAAAAGCAGCTTTTTTGTGTACCCGGATAAGGATTTATCGAGGTGACGTTCTTAGCATAACAGAGATACATGACATTAGTTTTGTCATACTTTGTTAGGGCCGGGTGACCATGTATTATCAATGGCTGACTTTAACAAATGATCGAAAAACGTGGAAAAATTACAATTTCTACGAAAGCATTGTACTTTAGCGCAATTTGAAATAATTTCCTCCACCTATCTAATTGATTTCATGTTTCCCATCGGGGAAAGACATGCAATGTACAAAATACATTAAGTCAACAGATTAACTTTATATCATGATCATAGCAGACCAATTTTAGTTCAAAGTTTTTGAATGCAGTTTCACAGTTGAATTATTTGCCATATTTTTACAGCTGCAAATCCATGTGGTGCTGGAGGATCCCCAAATGGAAAAAGATTTCTTTTTGATGACACATCATGTGTGCAGTACTATTATGAATGTGTTCATGGTGAGTCTTTCTAAACAACGTATCTGAAACGCACGTTGACTAAAAATGTTAATGGGATTTGTCGTAAATGTTTCATTCTACTATGAAACGATTGTTATTCAGATAACTACATGAAACATCCATGCGCACTCGGGACAAAATTCGACGTTGAATCAACCACGTTCACTTGGGAAAGGGATATCACCGCATGTCAACTACTTCAGACTTTGATTTCGCTGTCAGTCAGATTACCATTAATTTCACATTCCTATTCTAGATAAGCAAATTACAGTAACTGTAGCAGATCCACATTCAAGTACAACTACTGCAACATCAGCCCCAACTACAAGTACTACCGTAACAACAAAAGAACCAACATCTCCTCCACCAGGTGAATCTACTGGTATACTAAATAAATCATTTACGAAAAAGATCTCTTTAGGCCGATCGGAGCCCGAAAAACTAGCTTTGATTTCCGAAACTGCTCAAACATACAACCAAAGCGTTGACATTTCACCCGCGTGGTCGTTTGAGGGCATTTGACACGTGCTTACATGATTTGTTACTAGTATGTTACTGCCACCAAATTAGATTTGGTATTAAAGGTTTTGTTTTGCTTGTATGCAGTAAATTTATGGTTTATTCATACCTCATTTTACAGATTTAGAATCTTGCACTGAAGCTCAACGCCAATACGTCACTATGTTCAGGTGGGTTCTACTGCGTACAATCTTCAGAGAAAATACAGATATTCATGATGATACGATTCATATGTTTCATGAATTTCATAATCTCAATTTTTTTAAATATCAAAAAATTAAACGAGAATTTAATGAAGTTTATTTTTTATCAGTATCAGAAAATTTATTTATTTAATTCATTTTTGACAGAGAATGGCAGCAAGCAATGGATGACTGGTGTACATTAATGGATGAATACGATCCTTGTCCATAATAAATATGTCAATTGTTTTCGTAATTTTAAAAGATTTTTAGAATTTCAAGGCACGAAAAATAGGAGCTAATGAATATGATTCAAAAATATCACTAAATATTTGTACAATTTTACTGGAAAGATGAAAAACAAAAAACAACTCAACTTCCCTGAGTGGCCAAGGTACAAATATATTTTCTTGTATCACTCACTATATAATAGCATTATTTCTGACAAGACAATCAGTTTAATAGGTGGGCGAAAATCTATTATGGAAGGAAAAACTTGAAAAAAAATTCCGGTCAGTAGGGATCAATAAAATGCTTCCAGATTTTTTTTAAACATGGTTAGAAAAAGGGGATTTACGAAACATTTTAAAGATGTCATTTATGTATCCATGAGTCTATTTAACGTTTAAAAATTAACCAAATGCGAGTGTGAAATTATGAGAAATATCAAGATTGAACTTACACTTTAGACCGAATAAAATGTTTCTGAATATTTTATGAGCAACATTTTGTTTGTGCTTTAAAATCTCCCATATAGTAAGGTCTTCGCCTCGTATAAGGTTACAGCGTAACATTTCTTGCATCACACATGTCATGTACAGATTCTGCGACTGCTTTAATTCCGTCCAGGGAAAAACATTCATTTATTGAGTTTTAATTAAGGAACCTTTTGCATCTAAAGCTAATGACATTGTCAGGTTGGCACTATTGAAGGGACTTTTGCAGGACCCAGTCCCAAGACGATGTAATCCAATAAGCACCGGTCACAAATTGATTTTATTAAAGGATACTTAACACGTTTGTGATATATGTAGAGAAATGGGAAGCAGTAGAAATACAGCACGGTAGTGAGAAATTTAGAAATGGGAAGCAGTAAAAAACGTCACGGTAGTCGAAAATTTTCATTCTTTTGCAAGCTCAAAGATATGACTTCTTTCATCATATTGATATGACAAAAATAGATCAACCAAATCAATTACTTCAAAATTAAATTTTCAGTGGTTAAAGAGCCAATTTTCACAAGTTTTATAATATTCTAAAAGAACATATATAACATTCATATATATATATATACTTTTTTGTCTTCTCATTACTTGGCATATACACGATAATTATTTACCGTATTTTCCGGCGAATAAGTCTACCCGGTCAATTTGACGAAGCCCGTTTTCAAGCCTGAAAAAATGGGTTTTTGCATATAACCTGCCAATAATTCGGGGTAGTGAAATCGCATCAACATCGGAATCTCTAATTACCATACAATGTCTTTTGAGCGGTCGCCGCGTTTGCGCATTGGTTAAAATATCCTATATATAATGACGTTTTCCTGTAGGGTAATATTCAATCCATAATAACTACGGGAATTCAAACTGTCTTCAAATTTTAATCTACTTGTGTTCAACTCGCGATTGCGTCAAACACCAAAGAACATTACCTAATACATAATAAAACGACACCAAAAAAATGAAAAATATCATACTCGCTTAATAAGGCGACCTCCCAAAAATCAGGAAAAAAATTTGGGTCTAGAAAAGCGACTTTTTCGCCGGGAAATACGGTATATGATGCCGACAAATAGGCCTAGATTGACCATTGGGCAAATTAGGCACGTGTTTAGGGCACCAGGAAAAGAGGTCACTATAGAAAATTTCAAAGCCGAATAATCCGTGGTGTCTCAGTATTTGAGAAAACAATACGAGTGTGCCAGGCGACTCAGTCCTCGAATGTTCGCTTTTTTCTTTATCATCTATCTATGACCTATCATCTTGATCCTCTTTATAGATGTTGGTAGGTTCAAGACTAAGATGTTAGATGAATTATTTGCAAGTGGGATCGTTTTTAGGATGGGATCGGATTAACATATTTATTGCGGAAGAAAGAAATGCCGATAAGACGGCCAATAATCATATGGCGAACCACGGCGTCCTGTCCGGTTACCAGCCCGTGTCGCGTACGCGATTAGTCAGCCAGGTATTTGTTTTCAGATGCATGGACTCGATGACAGAGTAAGTCGTAACCGACCAGCGGCGAGGAGTCCAGCAATCCACTCGCACATATTTAACCCCGCAGTGGATTCGAACCCGCGAACCCACGCAAGGTAATTAGAGGTTCGATGGCGAGCGTATTCCTAACGCTCAGCACGATGTGCCACACCACCGAGTCTATTTGTTATATATTTGCGTATATATATTATTCATACCTAATTTAACGTTTGCTTTTCAGATTTGAGCTACTGCACTGAAGTTCAACGCCAATACGACATCATGTTCAGGTGGGTTCTACTGCGTATTAATCTTTAGACCAAATAACAGATATTCAACATGATACGGTTCACATGCGTCAAAAATTTGATAAACTTTAATTATTTTGAAATATCAGTAAACCATCCAACATATTTTAAATTTTAAGTTATGATTGTATTATTTTACCTGCTTATTTTATGCTTTTTCTGCTCTTTTATATTTATAAAATTTCAGTGTTACTTATTTTTCTGAATATTCAATTTTTTGATGATAATTCGTTCGAGATAGCTTAATGTTACCACGCTGTTTTATTTCATTTGGAGTATTTGACAGTTAATTTAATTAATTAATTTTTGACAGAGAATGGTGAAAAGCAATGGATGACTGGTCTAGTGGGAAACGTGGTACAAGTGGGATACAAATATATTCGTCTGCAGAACTCATTGATACTAATACATTTAACAATTTAATACGTGGGCCAAAATCAAGCGTAAATTGTTCTCTACAACTTTTTTTTTCGGTTAGTTCGGTTATATTCTTTTTGAAATATACTTAAAAAAGGAGATTTTCCAAAGAATGTTCATGCTATACATGCGCAGGGCAGAAAAATTTGTGCAAGCTGAACAACAGTTACTCAACAATATTTACAACAGAATATTTAATTGTGTCGACAACATGTTAATCAATTTAACATTTATAAATGAGCAAGATGCGTGTGTAAAATAGAACAAATGTTAGGCTGAAGCTTACACATTCAACCAAACAAAAATCGTTCTGAATCTTTTTGAGCAATTTTTTGCTTTTTTTTTGCGATAAATACTTTCAAATATTAATAGGTCAGATATAAATTTTAAAGCAAATGGCCGGTGAAGGGAATCTTGTAAGAAATATTACGCCTGAGTAACTCGTGAAGTGAAAACTGCTTGCAGTTTTACTGCTTATAATATTAATCTTAAACATAAGTAACATCTGGTGACGCAAGTATAATTGAACATGGCCCAAGCAAACCAATTTGTGTCGAATAGTGCAAGGTCCATATCCCTCTCAGTCATTTTGTTCTGCGTGACCGTTGTCGTTAGAGTCATCAACTAAATTATTAAGTAGGCCGGGAATGTCAAAGAAACCATGGATAAGGCCAATGATAAATGCTGCTGAAAAAAGTGACTGGAAGCATCTTTGTACCAATAAACTTTGTAAACATTCAATTCTATTTCATAAAGTGCAATGCATTTCAATCGCGTGTCTCAAACGCTGCCCAATATATGCTGCATGTATATATAAATTGTTATGATATTTACGGCGAAGGTTTCAGGGATTTCAACTGTCGTAATTATTTTATAGAATGTATGCCAGACTTCTATTTGAGATAACCATTCATTCAAATAATGGAAAAAAGCGTCTAATCAAAAATATTTGTTAATGATACAAATTTATCAAAATATTGTCAAAAAGAAGATAATTTATCACATTTATTGCAAAACTATCGATGACTTTACAAACTAGTATACATGAAATAAGAAAAATTACAAGAAAGTATATATGTGTATTATTAGATTAATTAAATTATAAAAAAAGCTCCTACATTTCACAATATCTCACATGATGTGACAGCCCCTGATTTTTGGATGGCTTCGAAGAGACAACAGATTCATAAGTAACCCCATAAAAGTACCACCATACAGTACGCTACATCGTAAAAGAATATTACAGTATTCGAGATCTATTATACTAATATACAGATTGGACATTTGCATAGTTCTCCCAACAAATATTCAGCGATCATACCATGATATGTTCACTGTATCACGGTGAATCAGAGAATGGCATACCAATGAAGTAATCATATATTTGTCGCTTTATGGTACATGAAATATCATCACTCGAGCGGGAAATTCCAAGCAAATTTAAATTAAGAAAAATAAACTGAAGTAACAAGTCTGGCTTCTATCATTAGTTTTGATGCTGACATATTGTTATATGTACATGGCCTTATCTCACAAAAACAGCCATCGAAAAAAGTCACATAAAAAAGAAAAACTACAATGACAAGATAGCTACGATATATACAGTATAAGTGGTGATAAAGACCAGACTGGTATGTTAATTCAATTTATTCTATTATTTTTAATTTACGTCAAATTTCCTCTCTGAGTTTGAACGGTAACTTTTCCTGTACGCACAACGCCAAAGAGATAATTATGTCACCAGCCTGTCATCTACTGAATATTCGACTTCGACATATTCCATTACGCCCTCTGAAGATTTGTTGAGAGAATTTGCCTGCTGAATCTTGCTTGGGATAATAGTATTGAATTCAAGTCATTTCGAGAAATACCAACATTCGGCATAATCTACAATATATATATATAAATATTTCTGCTACAATAACGCAAATAATCTCCGCTCGACTACAGAAATCGTAGCGAATTTGATATTGACTTGCGCACATTACATTATGAAATTTTGATTTTGTTTGAAGGATTGTATTGTGTTGAATTGCCTACAACTGTTTAGCCCTAGTAGACTTTAGAGTGAGAAAAGTTCAGATTGAAATTTGCCGTACTGAACGACGTTTGGACAGTTGGATAAATTTTTTTCCATATTTTTCGTCATTTATTTTTGGTGAAAGAAGTCCTTATATCTTCGAAAGTATAAAAAAATAAAACTTTGCCGTGTCAAATTTTTGTTTTTACTGCTTTGCATTTTCTTCAGTTTATATCACAAACGTGGTAAATAACCTTTGATTGAATCATTTTATGATATATAGTTGCTTTTTGGATTACATAGTCTTCAAGATGTTGGTTGTGAGATTTTTATTTTGTACTTGTCTGTTTGTTTGATACCGCTTGATTGTGTATTATTGTTCTCAGTGCTTTGATCTATCCCACTTCTATAAGTTGTTGCTTAGTTTTAACTATCTGTTGATAATGACATGTTGTGCAGCTACAAAAAGTCGAACTTGCTTTTAGATTTTGTATGCATACCAGTGTCTGAGACATTGTTATTAACCAGACATTCCAACAGTATCAAGCGAGCGACCTGCAAATGTCCCCTTTAAATGCGTCTGATGATGCCAGTAGCTTTAGAGGTGTCATGGATTTTATTATCTGTGTGGTTTAGTTTGTTTTTAAATTTGCCTATTTGTTTCGAGAACTCTTAATT